GGCCCCCCGCGCCCCCTGCGCCTGCGCAGGTGCGCCGATCCGGAAGACCAGGGGCGGCCTTGTCGCCGGTCACCCGGGATGTAGAGTCGCCTGTTAAGATTTCCTTGTTCTAGATAGGGGCTCTTCCGGCCGGGAAGGCCTAGCCAGCCCAGAGGACCACGCTGTTAGAGGTAGATCTGGTGTCCATACCTGGCCTATGGGGCTCCAAGCTGCCCTCCGCGGTCAAGGGGGCTCGTCCGGATCCTTCTCGTGTTGGGAGCCTGAATTCTCCCCTCCTCGACATCCTGGGCGTCAGAGGGTCTGATGAGCCCTCCTTCCTCCCTAGCAGGCTCGTCGCAGCCAGTCGGACCTCTCTCCACCTGGTAGGGGCCACCGTCATCCCAGGCTTGGACGGTTTCCTTTTGCTCCCCTTGGTTCACCCCTCCCTCCTTCTGACAGTGCATTTCCCCTGCAGCAACGGGGGGGCCTTGCACCCTCAAACTTGACCCATCCTCTGCATAGGCTCTTGCAAGGGCGCACTTTTCCTTGGTAGTCAGGCATCCTAAGTCTGTAAATGCATGTTTGTCTATCTTTCCGGTTGGGTTACTACTCCTTCCCTCCATTACTCAATGCTCCCACCTCCTCCTTCAAAAGTCAAGCGCATTTTTAAAAAGATTTATTTATTTATGGATACAAGAACTGGGTACAAGCCAGAGGTACAGAGGGCGAGAGCATTCACCAGAAACAGTAGGGAGCAAGTGGGCTGACCGAAATACTGCGCTGAGGGGAAAAGTGGACAAGACAGGGAAGATCTGCTCCACGGTGTGGCTAGAATTCCTGCTGTAGTGGCTGCAGGCTAGCTGCATAGTGCTGTGCTTTAACCCTTTGTGCCACCATGGAGGCCCCTCAAGCACATTCTTACCACAGGGCTTTTACATTCTGCCCTTTCCTCTCCATAGAAGTTATTTCTATGCCCCTCACTTCACTTGGGAGCCTCAGCTTAAGTGTGACAGCCTCTGATCCCTCCCTAGCCACCTTATCTTAAACAGCACACCCACTAGCTCCAACCCCTTCCTGCTTTAATTTTCCTCATAGCACTTAGTCACTCCCTGCCACTGTATCATGTTTATTACTTCTTCCATCTTAGGAGTCAGTTTTATAAGCACAGGCATCTTGTCCATCATGTTCTCTGCTATGTACATGAAATACTTGATGAGTAAACTCATTAAATATCAAGATTTTGCAAGTCTAAATAAAGTTCCTTCATGTGTCTTCTAAATAGCATTTAACTTCAGAGTTAAAAAATTTAATGTAATAATATCGAAATTGCATTATGGCTGTGAAAATAAACTATAAATAGGAGAGTTGCCAGGTTTTTATAGGAAAAAAAAAAGAGAAAGAATTATTCATCCATAAGAGAAATATTTATTGGGTATTGGTGTGGCCAGAAGTGACTTAATCAAAGACTTTAATTCCCTGAGAATAAAGTATGACCTGGATGAAGACTGGGAATTAAATGAAGATCAGGAAGTCAAAGGTTGTGATCACACATACTCTGAAATGTAGTCCTGCCTTTTTGAAAATAGGATTTGTAAAGCTAAGCGATAAGATCATGCTTCTACATAAACTTTTGTTAGTAAAGACATGCCTAATGTTACAAACAATAACCACCTACAAAGCTGTAATTTCAGTAGTAGTATATACATTTTTAAAAAGTAATTTTTTTGTATACTTCTAATCACTGCAAGTATACCCTGCCATACCCATGCACATTATTCCACTGGCTGACTTAGACCTCATTCAAAACATGCTCTCTTATTTTAGATAGGTTTTTCAACTTTCTGTTATTTAGAAATAGATCTTTAAAAAGATCTTTTTAAAAAATAAACATTTATTCCCAAAATGAAATATCTAAATCAAAGCAGAGCTCTTAGAGACATAAATGATGCATCATGACTTTTTTTTTAAGATTTATTCTTACTTATTTATGCAAGTGTAGACCAGAGGTGTGGTGTGCAAGTGGGTAAGAGACAAGAGTGGGAAGCAGAACAGGCAGATCCACTAAAATACACTGCTGAGGGGAGCAGCAGGCAAGACAAACAGGTCTGCTGTGCCATGTGGGTCACCTCCCTGGCCTGGGATCAAGCTCTTGCCCCAGTGGCTGGGAATAGCTTGACAGCGTTGAGACCTTAACCCCTGCACCACCAAGGAGGCCCATGACTTTTCTTTAAATGAAAATGTTCAAAAAAAAAAAGACCCAGCACCTAAGAGTACAAAATCCAGATTTAAGAAAGAGTAGCAGCATGCTGTCATATTTACTGGATTGAATTTTTGGGAAAAAAAACCCTTTTCTGTTTTACAGTTGTATTTATTTACAAATTACATTATTCTTCAGAGGCATTCTTGACATTTCATTTTATCTTCACACTAATTTGGGCAAACTGATTTTTTTTATCCATTATTCCAAATCAATTGACTCATATCCTCTACTTCTCCATTTAGGACTTGTTTTTAAATTTGGATAAATTGGACACTGGCATCCTTATGTTTAATTTTGTTGCTCCTGTTTGTTAGGAGGGCTTACTGAGATGATCTTTCAGAAACTTGGAACTGTTGTTTCTCCAAGAATTCTTAAAGTCCTGAGACACTCAGTTCTCAGTACTTGAAGTAACAAAAAGCTTTCTTAGTTTCAGGGCGTACTGATTTTCCTGTTACAAGACTATGTGTCTTAAAAACCTTATTAGATGTGTAAATAGGTTCTGTATTCCCATCCTGTTCTGATAATAGTCGAGTGTAGTTTAGTGATTGCTTGGAGAATCTCACCTGTTAAGTGCCTAAGCCTAACCAGCAGAAATTGAAATATTACATTCTATTATTATAAGAATACCCTTACTTAAAAGGATGAGTGCTAATTCTATGTTGCAACTTATTTTGAACTGCTGGGATCAAAGGGAATTGTTCCAGAACTGGAAGAGAAACATCCACAGCACCTGCACAAGGCTCCACACTACAAAGTTAACCTATTGTCAAGGCTGGGGTTCAGGGAACTCTGGGCAGAGCACAGGCTCCTTGAAAATTCCATACTCAGCCACCAGAGGGCAAAGTACACAGGGGGGAAAAAACCCAGAGTAGACACAAAGAAAGGGAGAAAGGACCCACCAAAGAGCTGAGCACCTGTGTACACTGAGATCTGCTGCCAGTCTCAAAGTGACATCCCTGTCGCAGGAGGGTGACCTGTGAAACCCTGTGGTAGAAGTCCTGCATGTAACTGAGGGGAAGGAGGGTCATGTTAAATCCAACGTCAGAGTTAGTTTGTGGGAAACCAGGACTCTTAATATAAAAAGCTTGGTTTTACTATCTAGGATTACCACAAATTAGTTACAATTTCTATTGCAGCAAGATCTTTAGCTACCCCTTTCAGAAAGTGTTCAATCTCATGGCATCTGGGATGTATCTTCTCTAGTAAAGTCTTTCCAACTGCAACTCTTTTTGGTCACCTATTTCTCTACCTCCTCCTCACTTGAGCAACTATAAGGAAGCACGAAATGTCATTTGCTCTGTGATGAACTAGATGGACAGGGGATGAATCAGTGTCTGTAAGCATCCAAGAGCCAGCAGTTTTTCATGGAGTCATCACTTAGTGGGTCAATCTGTTAACTTTGCTTTATTTCTCTTCATGTCTAGATTAAAAAGAAACCACTCACACAAATAAAGCAGCTCAATAAAAAAAAATTACCTGATAACCTTTATTCAGGAAGTGAAAGTAACTCTGAAACAGTGCTTCATAAGGTGTGTCATACAAGGCCTTTGCTTCCAATGTGTGCGAGGACTCTGCCCAGTCCTGTTTCCCCACGCAGGCACACTATTAAGATGTCATCCTGGTTGGCTACAAAATGGTGGTAACATCTCAGTCAGTTTTATTTGTACTTCGGGAGAACTGGAGAAGGCATGGCTACTTCCTAAGTCAAGGTGTGCTGAGGGCCCAGATCCTTGTTCTAGGTGATGTGCTCTCCAGTCAATGAGCCCAGCTTGTGTTTGATTTGCATGCACGAAAACAGATGCCCCCCCCCCCCACCTGCAGTGTGGGCAGCAAACTGTGTCCCACTTATGATGGGATTTCCCAACCTTCCTCCACACTCTCAGAATCTTCAAAGGAGAATGAAAACAGAAATAACCCAAGACTAAGATGCTGGAAAGAAAGATACTCTTGATACACAAAAGTAAAGCCATGAGGAAATGGGGAAAGCAAAATGAGAGAGACAGAATTACAATGCCAATGTAGAAAAATACTGAGATACACTAAATAAAAATAAAACCCACCCCGCTCCCTTCTTCCACAAGATATTTTAATGCAGCAAGAAAAAACTACTTCTTCCTTGTAGTAAGCACTGTTAGTACTCATCACTTTAACATTTATGATGCATCACATAAAAACAAAGTCAGATACTTTTGCATAAATCAAAAAAAGTAGTAAAATCAATATAATGGCAGGAAGGGGGAGGTGCCAATTTTCTCACAAAATACAGAAAGTTTTAGATTATTATATGGATAATAAATGTTTGCACCCTTACACAGTGCTTATGGCCAATTGAAGCAACAAAAATTATCATCCTGACATAGGATGTTCCAAAAGCCTAATTTATAAAAAAGGACAATTTATTCTATATTTAATAAAATGTTTATTTAGGATGGTAACACAAGAGAAATCATGCAAGAGCTTAGTAAAAACAAAACAAAAATGTAAGCATATAAGAAATGGCAATTGGTGTTGCCAATTAAAGAAAAAATGTGAATCATTACTACCCAAAAGTAATATGAAGAACATTTTAAATCTGAGCATGGTTGTAGGAATCTTTTGGAGCTGTAAAAGTCATGGGTAACTATGTGTCTTTCATTCTTCAAAGGAGTCAAGTCCTAGATCCTAAACAGTCATAAAGTCCTTTGAGTCCTGCATTCAAATGGCGAGCAGCCCAGAACCCCTACCCACTGAGTTTTCCAATGCCCTTGGGACAATCTTATACTGATACCTCTTAGCAAGGGAGGAAGGCAGGCATCCTTGGTGACTCTTCAATAAGACTCCACCTATATTTAGAATCTCAGTTGGTAATGCAAACTGTTAAGACTTGGAAGCCATCCTTACCAGCCTTAACTGTAGTGTTTTGATGTCCAAGGAAGGATTTCCACAGCAGGTGGGAAGAAGTTTGAACAGAAATACTAAATTTAACATAGTGTCTCAAATGTCAACAAATATTAACTCAGCTCTTGGCAAAAAAAATAAATATAGTGGAATGTAAATTTGATAGGTGGAAGAATATATATAATCTACCAACTGTCAAGGAGTACAATTTCATTGCAGACAAAAAAAAAAAATTTCAAAGAATTAAAAAAAAGTTTGCACTTATTCCTCACAAAACCTTCACTTTTGGAACTACCCCAATTGAAGCTACACACTGAATTTATTAATACAGCATTAAGTTTCTTTGTGTAAAAAAATCTTTGTACATAGTAATAAAAAAAGATAAGGCAAGATGCATTAAACAGAAACCTCTGGTTCTTTTCCTCTGGGTAGCACAGAGCCACTGATGACAAGCTGCAAACAGCATGAAGTTTCTGATTTTCCATATCAAGCATCTTGTGCCTCTGCTGTGGTAAGAATTCTGTCCGAGCACCCTGAAGGACAGATGCTGGTGATGGTCTTTGGCACTTACGCTGGCAGACTGAGCTTCTTTCCCTTGAGCACTAGAATTTTAAGGAGAGGAAAAGAAAACAAAAGGTTGCTGTTATTGACAAGTTGAATTTCCTGCTTCCTAGCCCTACAATACAGTATTTAGCAAGGAGCAAAGAAGTAATCTTTTGGTAACAAATAGTCATTTGATTTTGGTGTCAGTATAGCCCTCTGATCTATAAAAATAATGTATATACAAACTGGCATTTTCTTGTTTTATTTAACTCATTTGTAGATGACTTTAAATAAAGTGATGACTTCAGCTTTACTGAGGTATTGACAAAATTATAAGACACTAAAGAGAACATCATAGTGAGTTCAAGTATGTTTTTATCACTAAAAAACTCCTGCTACTTAGCTGATGCATTATTACCTCACATCATATTGGTATTTTATTAGTGTATCTGACAGCAATTGTATGTAAAAATACTAATATGAACTGAAATTCTTATTACATTCAAAGCAGCTTTTTTTTTCTTTCAGCTTTTTTTATGATCACTTTCCTTTCTAGTCAACACATATTAAAATCTAACATTATGTACGGATATCTAAAAAGGTTTGGCCATCTGGTCCTCCCTGGTGGTGCAATGGGTTAAAGTGCAGCACTACAAGCTACCCACAGCCACCTCAGTGTGAGTGCCATCTCCCGCACCAGAGGTGATCCACATGGCACAGCAGACCTCTCCTGTCTCGCCAGTGGCTCCCCTCAGCAGTATACTTTGTCAATCTGCCTGTGCTGCTCTCCACTCTGTTCCTGGTGAATCCTCTTATCACCCCTGTACCTCTGGCCTGTACCCCAGTTCTGTAAACATAAGTAAATCTTATGTATAAAAAGGTTTGGGCCCTCCCTGGTGGTGCAGCGGGTTAAAGCACTGCACTAAGAAGCTCAAGCCACTTCCTTATGAGTTCGATCCCAGCCTGCCCTGGAGGTGACCACATGGTGTGGCAGACCTCTCCTGACCCGCCTGCTGCTCCCCTCAGCAGTGTACTTTTTGATCTGCCTGTTCTGCTCCCCACTCTGTCCCTGGTGAATTCTCTCACTCTCTGCATCTGTGGCCTGTACCCCAGTAATGTATGAATAAAAAAAAAAAAGGTTTGGCCATCTTTAAAAAGAAAAAGAGATGATATATATGGCCTCATACTCAGTAATTCCACCATTAGGAATTTTTCACTATGTCAGGGCTTTTTAAAAAAGATTAATTTACAGGCCCTCCCTGGTGGTGCAGCAGGTTAAAGCATAACACTAAGAAGCTAAAGCCACTTTAATTATATATTAGAGTTCAATCCCCGCCCCGGAGGTGACCATATGGCGCGGCAGACGTCTCCTGACCCGTCCGCTGCTCCCCTCAGCAGTGTACTTCGTCAGTAGGCCTGTTCTGCACCCCACTCTATCTCTGGTGAATCTTCTCACGGCCCCTGCACCTCTGGCTATCCCCCAGTTCTGTATGCATAAATAAATCTTTAAAAAAAAAAAGATTAATTTATTTATGCATACAAGAACTGGGGTATAGCCAGAGATGTGGGGGGGGGGGGTGAGAGGATTCAACAGAGAAAGAGTGGGGAGCAGAACAGGCAGATATACTGAGATACACTGCTGGGGGAGCAGTGGTCAAGTCAGGAGAGGTTTGCAGCACCATGTGGGTCACTTCTATGGCTGGGGATTGAACTAGTGCTGTGGTAGCTGCAGAGAGCTTCACAGTGCTGTACTTTAACACACTGCGCCACCAGGGAGGGCCCCTATGGCAAGGATTCTTATCCTGGGATCTATGGTGGATCCCAGGGACCCCTGCACCTATGCTCTATGCATACATTTGTACCATTTATGCTTCATTATTTTTTTTCTAAGTGAGACATGGCTTTTTTTAAGTCATATTTTTGTTAAGTTTACATGTTTCACACTCACCTAAATACAAGTATATACATATACAAGAATTCTGATTTAAGCACTGTTATTTCAAAAGATGCAAATCAGTAAGTTTAAATACCCATAAGTGGGGACTAAATAATTTGGTAATGCACATAAAGAAATACTCTATGGCTACTAAAATTATGCACACTTCTTTTTACTGACATAAAATATGTAAATGGGGGAAAATAGCATATGTACAGAATAGCATATGTAGTTTAAATTCTTTATCTGTGCATATGTAGACATCTGAAATAACATTTACTGAAACATTAACAGTGACTATCTCTGGTGGGATTTCAGGAGATTGTCTTCAAATTTATTTGTTTTGATTAATTTTTTTTAAATAATATAATATTTTTTTACATCATTTTTAACTTTTTTTTTTTTCACCTCATTTGTAATCCCCATGGGCATTCTGATTAATTTTTTTACAATAAAAACAGTCTGGGCCCTCTTTGGTAGTGCAACGGGTTGAAGCACAGCACTACGAAGCTATTGCAGCTACTGCAGCATGAGTTTGATCCCCAGCCAAGGAACTGACCCACATGGCGCAGCAGACTTCTCCTGACCTGCCCACTGCTCCCTTCAGCAGTGTATTTCAGTTAATATGCCTGTTCTGCTCCCCACTCTGTTTCTGCTGAATCCTCTCATCCCCCATATCTCTGGCCTGTACCCCAGTTCTGTATACATGAATAAATAAATCTAAAAAAAAAAGCCATTGCAGAAATACAACACAAGAGAAAAATAGACCGAAAACCCTGATCCAAAATTTTAACAGTCATCAAAATATTCTTTTGAAGCCAGCCCTGATTATGAACTTGTGACTGACTAGGGATGTATTATACAAAGGAGCTCCTATAAGCACACAGGGCTGTGGGACAAACCAAGCAAGGCATGGCCCAATGTACCTTTTGTTATGTACAAGTAGAAGAAGTCGCAGTAGAGAATGGTCTGGACAACACCAGCCACTACAGCAATAAGGTCAAAAAAGCCCTCAAAGTAAAAGCGCCAGATCCAGTTGACGAGATACAAAGCACGGTAGAGGCCCAAGAAAAACAGGTAGTGGGTGGTGATGGTCTCTGCCTCCCCGGTCTTACTGATCATGAAAAGCTGTGGAAGGATAGCCACCGACTCCAGATAGATGGAGAAGGTCCACAAAATCTGTAAAAGAAATTGCAGCTTTGGTTAGCATCTAGGGCCCACTGTGAACTCATAGGAAATACCTTGGCATTATGAGGGGAGCAGCATAAAAAGAGCCTGAGTATCTGAGCATAGAATTAGGTAGCTTAGCAATTTAGTAAGTCACAGAACTAAAGCTACATTTAAGAGGGATGGTCACTCCAATACAGCTGGGTGGCCCAGACATCTGTACATTTGCCCTTTCATCACCTTGTGTCTCCCATGTGTTGCTTTTCCATGTACAATTTTCTGTGTATTTTCTACAAACATATATAATGCTTCTCCTGGGTAAGCTTGTCATATTCTGAATCAGGGTGATTTCTCAGTCTTCTATCAGGGTCAACAAAACCGATAACCAGATTCCTTCTCCTTCCTCATCAACTGTCTCTTTTCAGACTAGTTAAACACACTCACTAATTTTCTTATTCCTTGCGCTTTTTTTTTTGGTGGTCAAATCCCAGGGATATAACCTGTAATTGTAATTATGCAAATTTTCTAACATGGTATTGTATTAACTCTGGAGAAGAAGGACTTTCAAACATTCCTGGGAGTGTGTTAAAAACCCATTACAAAGCCCAGAGTAGCTCAGGAACCTAATGGAGCTTAGAATACTAAGGAGGACAGGCACTTTGGAGTAGCCACAGCACTGCACAGAGCAGGGGGACAAAACAAACCACTCCTCCTGCAGGTGAGTGTAACACAGCAGTGTCGCTTTGGGTGTCATGTGTGACACCCACTCATGATGAGGAAACAACAGTTGATGAGTGCAGAAGACCACATCATCCAAGCACTCTGACAGATAGGCCCCTGTTTGGCACTCAGAAGTCATGTTTATATTTTGGAAGAGAGTCAGGTAATAAGCTGTTAACAGAACCCAAATACCTCTGTGCTAATTCTAGTCCATGATTAATTTACCCCAAAGAGGGCATGCTGCATCATTAGTTTCCCAACTCGAAAAAAATACAAAACCTTAAAATCAGAACATGTTATCTGCAAACAGGTCTATTCCCCCAGGGCAGCAGATAAGCACTTAAGTGACTTCTTAACTAACCTCAAGAGGAGAGAAATCGTGATTGACTAGAAATGAGAGGCCTCCCACAGGAACCACCAGAAACTCCACTCGGAAGGTATCATGATTTCCATCATAGGTTGCCTTAAACTTCATGTAGATAAGGTATACTGTGGCATAGGAGCAGGCAATGTAGATAAGCTAAAAACAAAAGAGAAAATACCAGGTCATCAAAGCTTTACAACTGTTCCAACTCCCTTGGTTTTCCGTATCTATATATCAAATTTTAATTTAAAAAATAGCATAAAATTCACTTCTTTGGGATATATAGTTCCATGAGTCACATAACCTAAACCACAATCAAGAAACAGAATGATCTTATCCATACTCCCAACCTAGTAATTTCCTCATGCTGCCCTTCTGTTGGCAAGTCTCCACCCACTCCCAGCCTTAATCACTAGATATTGCCAATCTATTCTTGGCCTTTGCAGTTTGCATTTTTGAGGATACTATATACATGGAGCCATACGTATGCTGCCTTTAAGATGGATTGTTTTCCTCAGAGAGCCAACCCTGCTATTCCAGGTATTCAATATCTTCATTTTATTACTAAGTTACCAAGAGTAACTGGAAGTACGTTACTCACTTACCAGTCAGGGGTAGGTAGGTTATTTCCAACTTGGGGAATGATGGCTAAAACTGCTATTAACAACATGTACAAACTTCTGTGTGAACACAAGCTTTCTTTTCCCCTGGATCCTACCCAGGAGTGAGACTGCTGGATCATATGTTAAATATAAGTTTAACTGTACAAATTACAGTTACTTTTAAATCTCATTTCAAACTATTAAGATAGCAGTTTAAGAAAGAAAATGAACACAAAAGTCAATGCAGTTCAAAACCAATGCCCTTCTCTTTCCTATGAACGACAAGATAAACAATGTAACTCATCCTAAATTTGACAATGCTGGCTTTTACTTAAGTTGTTATTTATTCTGAAGACACAGATTGTTGCTATGAAATTCTGTCTTTGGTAACATAACAAAAGCAAAACCAAAAGTAAGTGATAATTTGTGAAACATCACTGCCTACAAGGGATGGATTTTGTTCACACAGCAGTAGAGCTGTTAAAGCATAGCTGTTAAATTACATGTCCTTTTCACATTCAAAAAGTCAAAACACCACAAAGGCAGCTAATCCAAAGGGAAAGTCTTATTTTCCGAAACACATCAATTTTCAGAGTGCAGAATTTTAGGCCCAAGAACCAAATAATAGATTTAGCTTACGGACAATGACAAGTGGGATTATCAGTTACACCGCCAGATACTATGCTCTTGGAACTTGCTTAATTAGGAAATCATTTGGGCAAATGACTTAACAGGAAAATAAGAGCAGTAATCGAGCCCTCATAGGCTTCAAAACATAACAAAGATATTCAACAGTCCTTAGCATCTTACCAGGAAGTTACATTTGCAAATAAATATTCAACAAAGTTTAAGTATGATGTGAGTGTAGTTTTTGACACAGTACAGCCCGTATTAATCATGTTTAAAAAGTTTCCTTCTATCATCAGTTTTCTAAGAGATTTTATTAAAAGGAGGCTTTTCATCAAATGCTTTTTTGTTTAGTCCACCAATATGGTGAATTACATCATGTCTATTCTAAGGTTTAAAACTGCTGGTCATATCCACATATAGCCCACACCAGAAAAAAAAAACAACCAACCCAGGAAGATAACTGCCTTAATACTGTTAGTTTTCTCCACATACAAATACATATGCATGAATATCAACTGCATATCACCTATAAAACCAGAATACACATTCATCTATACACATAGACCCCTCCAGCAGAACATCCATTCAAGGATCACGTAGCTGGGGAGTCCTCCTTGAACCCTGTCTATGGCCAGATTATGTCCATCAAGGTTTTAGGAGGTGCTTGGGAAAGAAATTGCTTTTCTCCTCATATCAGTGCTTTGCATTTAAGGATGTAAAACTCAACTGTCATTCCTATGATTTTCAGGAGATCATGCTTAGAAATCAGAATGAAGCAAGTATTCATTGGAAAGCAAGCTGTCCTGAGAGGGAGGGGAGGAATTTTCTTGCTCACTCACTTCTAATACCTGCAGTTTTAACTTCCTGGACAAGCAGGGATCTAGCCATTTTTAAGGAAGCTAAGGAGTTCCTGACAGCCATCTGGAGTACTGGCAACCAAGCAGCTACACTGGGCCCGGCAAGCATTTGTAGAACCATTACCCCAAGCTTTCCCTTCATAGTAGCTACCACAACCTGCAACCTTTCAGTCTGTATGGTGATGAAGGGGCTAGTCTCCCCCTTCAGACAGTTAGGACTCCCACTGGTTTTCTATCCTGTCCTCCATGCTAGAAGGTGCCCAAGCCTGTATGAGTTTAAGGACCACATGTAAGAGCAGAGGTCTCCCTAGGTGTGGAGTGTGTACCACCACAGTATACAAGACGTCAGGTGCCACAAATACAGTTTGTATTTTAAACATCTGTCTTTAGAATAACACAAGGACACTAAATATTTAGGGTAAGTTAAGGGGTTTAAAACCACCTAAGTAAATTAGGGCAGATGCTGCTTATGCACAGCAGAAATAAAAAATTGCACACACCAAAGTTTTAAGATATAAAAGAAGGAGACGCCCACACAAATCCCTCTCACAGCATCAAAATGACACATTGCGGCAAGAGCCACTCTCATTCCTTGTTCTGAACTGACTTGCTGGGTTTTCCCAGGGAATCTGTAATTTCTCACTGCCTGAAAACAAAGTCATGACCCTTTTTTAAAAAATGGGGTTATAAAGAGCTTTAGCAGTCTATCACACTCGAGGAACTTAGCATTTCAAAATCTCTATGTGCAAAGTACTTTAATTAAGTAGATGCTGCTCTGAGACAAAAAACAGTCCAAAAGTTGGAAGTCAAGAACAGTATATTTAGACATTATTCTTGAAGATATCTAATTAAACATGCAAATGAGAAAAACTCCAGTTTCCACAGGCCTATGCTTCGTGGCTAAAATACATTCCTTTGGACACCATACCATACCTTCATAGATGTATTATATAATGAAATAAATGAAGTGAAAAGATCCAGGTAACGAGTTGTGAAGACCAGTGCAAACAAAAGCTGGCTTTTTCCAGAAATACCTAAAGAAACAAAAAGAGAGTATCAGAAAATCCTTGAAGAGCTTTATGATTCTGTACATAATGCTGTGCACAAAGATACAGATATGACAAGAGAGACACTGGGCATCAAAGTCAATGTCTGGGATGATGCTAAATAAATGAGAGCAGTTTTTCTTTCCCTTAATATTTTTGAACATGCTCCCATGGGGAGTTCTAACAACTTTTCTCTTACTAGATGGGTGACTCTGGGAAAGTGATTTACGTATGCCATCACCAATGTACCAGGATGTATGTCATTTAAATGAACTTTGTAATCCTCATATATATCATTTCAGGAAGGAATAAATTTCCTGATATTTATTATTTAGTCTTGTAAATTGTTACTTTTAGCATCTTACTTTACATTTTAAAAAAACACCTCATGGTAACTAATCTTTCTAGGACTTGGTGGGAATGTAATGACTAAAGGGATGAAGAATCAAGTGAAGAACAGTGACTTGGGGTCATACCCTTCCCCCATAACAGTAACGTGGCTTCCCAAGGTGACTTCTTTGGTGAGGGCAGCAGTTACTTGGACATAGTGATTTTTAAAATTCCATCTTTTAGATTCAGCACCTAACCAACTTCATGCTGCCATAAAAATGTCCCTGATGTTATGCCAACAATAAACTGGGAAACTATAACTATGCCAGACATTCAAAGCAGCAGTCTGTTGTTAACATCTTGAAAACCTACCACCTCCAACAAACAACCCACCTCCAGAGCACAACTGTGTCTTATGGAGACTTAGCAACCAAAGTTTAGAAGGTCACATAGTAAGCATGCTTTTCTAATATTCACATTTCAACAAATATTTGTGTCAAAGGACAGGAACCATGGGTTTCAGATGTTGGAGGGTGAGTGAATTCACTAAGGAAAGTGAAGCCTTACCAGCTATCAGAACACACCCTTGTGATAGTGCAAACTTCACACCACTAGACATGTAAGTAACCAGATATTCAGCAGAAATTGTCACTGTTTTCGAAATATTAGCACTATTCCTCTGGAATATGAAAATCACATTGTCTTAAATATTTTACAGATATTTACAGTAATATTTTATAAAACCTTTTTGTAACTGAAAGTCAGTCTGGATAGAATGCTTCTCTCCATGTATGGATAACTGTAGTTCTAGTCTATTCACCAACACCTAGATAGAAACTAAAATGTTTTTCAGTTTTATCCTTCTGAATCTATCAGTAGTAGCTAATTTCAGGGTCAAAAGGCAGAGATACAGCCAGTAAGTCTGCACTTTTAGTCTAACCTCTAATAGGTAACTTTCTTTTCCTTTAAAGATCAATGTGCCACAGGAGAAACATGGGGCTTCCAGTGACATAACCAGGGAGACTGAGGATGAAAAGAAAGGGGAGCACATGTGGATCACATGATATTTGTTGAAATCTTGAGAGAAATCTCCTACATAGTTCTAATACTTTAAATGACAAATTAAAGGATACACATAGTACTTCTGGTATACAAGCTTTGTTCTAATGGGATTCTGAGAGAAGGCATATTTGAAATTTTGTCACTGTCAACATTGCTATGCTAAAAATCTGGGACTATTCTATTGCCTTTACCACTCTCCTTTGAGACCGAACCCACACGTCACTTCCTCCAGGAAGTCATCTTTGAAGACAGCCTTCCTTGCTGCTTATTATTCATTCAGCAAGTATGCAACGGGAACTGCTTCATGCCAGCCACTACTCTCCATTACAGCACTTATAAAAACACACCAAGAGTATCTCGACCCCCCACCAGACACCAAGATCTCCAAAGGCTGGGGTCATCCCTTTTTCCATTTTGTATTCTCTGTGCTGAGCACTCGGCCTAACACATAGTGGAGCTAAGAAAATATACACTGAGTGGATGAAAAGAAAATGAGTAGAAAAAAGAAAATGGAATTAATTTTATTTCAAGTCATGAAGTAAATTCTCATTCTGCGGTTTTTCTGAATACTTCCAAACAGTTCTTAAGTCAATCTGTGCCTCTATCACGTTAAATAGACATTGTGTTTTGGGCCCAGCCCTAATTAACTACCACTAGAGGGTGGGCAAGCTCCTTGGGCAGAGGGTAGAGGTATAGGCAGACTGCGGGTGGCCTGGAGCATATCCAGTGGTACAGAATCCACACTGGAGCTGAGGATGTTTAGTAGTTTTACTCTCTTCTCCCTTGAGAAGAGATTAACAACTTGATTAAGAAGAAGCAACATTTTCTTTTTTAAATATTTATTTATTTCTGCATACAAGAGTTTGGGAGTGGGGGTTGCCAACAGCTTCATTGTGCTGAGACTTAACCCAACTTTTTCTTTTAAAACAAGAAAGCTTTCCTGCCTTCAGAGGAAAGCACGGATCCCAGCTGAAGACAGAGCAAGGGCAGGAATCACCTTCTGGGGTGGAATCCTGCTCCCATGGTCACTTCTGTCTGGGATCAAAGCATACAATCAGGTAAAACACTCTCATACTCCCTTTGGCTTATAAAACAGAACCTTCAACCAAACAGAAACCTTCCCATCAATTTTTTTGTTGTGATCACACTGGGGATGTTACCACACTGGGGCTGCTACCAAACTCTTCAGGCCAGACCCCTGAATAATCTTCACAACAGCTCTCAGTAAGGATGAGTTCATGGTAACCACTGTCTTAAAGGAATCATATACCTTCCTTAAAGCCAGTTAACTTTCCCTGGAACCAGGGGCCCCATAGTTAGAAACCATTTCATAACACTGCTCTTGGGCCTTAGGGAAAGAGACACCTTAGAGTAAGAGGGTCTAGGTTCAAGCCCAGCCCCCAAACATTTAGGGTAACTGGGCTCATTACACTATTGGTTCTTCCTAAACCTCACTTTCTCACCTGTTAATTAGGGACAAATTAATCCAGCTTTGTGGGATTGTTAGGAGGAGGAAAAGGTGATAGCTGCTACAAAAAGGGTACTAGGAATGCGGTGGAAAGGTTTCTTGAAGTACTTGATGACAATAACAAAACGTTCTCCACTTGTTCATAAAATATAATTGATTATGTACAATGCATATGTGTGAACTGTCTCTGCCTCTGGCATGTCTGGTAGGATGAAAAGTCTACAGCATATGTAACAACAGGTAACAGCAATCTAAACAATAAGTGAAGGAGGGAAAGAAAAAGGAAGGGCTGGGAGTAATAGATCCCAGTAGGACTCCACTAGTGATTTAAGCACAATAGATAGAGCTCTATTGGTAACTGTTGGCCTGCAGGAAAATATGAATAGGAAGTTCTTCATCTATAAACCTAGGCTTCCTTTCCCAAAGCCATCCACTTCAGTGAAAGTTCAGAAATAAGAGAAACATATCATCTGGGCATCCCTCTGGAATAGCAAATGCAGCCACAGGAAATGCTGATTCAAACAGAAGTAAACAAGATCATGTCCCATTTTAAAACAGGTCCTTTACAACGGACATTCTCAAATTAGATAGTCAGGAAGAGTCTCCATCTTTTTCAATGACCTGTCTTATCCCTACCCCAAGCAAAAAAAGCAACATGGTTCTGGAGCTGCAGGCATGGTCAAAACATGTGCCAACATCCTAATGTGAACCGCAAACGAGTATTTTCAAAGTGAGAAACACAACCTGGATGACGTCTCCTATTCCAGTTATTTGAGAAACTCATATCAAATTCTTACTCCTTCAATAGTCTCTAAACGTTTATAATTTAGGATGGAAAAACAAAGCTGGTAGTTAAATTTGGCATTTAATACTGATGATTTTGATATTTAAAAGATCAGGAAATCTCATGTACAAGAACTAAAACAACCCTAAGCCTGAGGATGAAATTAGTTTAACAGTGTCCTATAACTACAAGTTAGCTATAGGAGTACTTGGCAAACACATGAATTTATCTTCCACAATGTTTTAGCTGTAGTATTTTATATTTTCCTAAATGTTCCTAATATCCCCAATGAAAAAGTAAACATTAAAAAAACAAAAACAAAATAGCATACCCTTTCACTTTCTCCTTATTACTTCAGGTCCCCTCCAGAATTCTATTTTCAGAGCTGCACTGAATTCTCTGTCAGCTTAGTCTAGACACAGTTAGGCTACAGAATGTTTCCATACTTTAAAGAATATCTTTAAATTTCTCCTTACAGGAAGAAAAAAAATGCAAGAATGGGTGGCACACATTTGCTACATGTATCAAATCAATATGTGGGATACCCAAAACTATTAAGTTACATGTCAATTATGTCTAATTAAGGGTGTAAAATAACATTTTCTTAGTGTAATAAAAAAGTGCCCAAAACTATGGGTCTGGCATCAATGTGGACAAAATTTACTCAGAACCCTTAACAGAAAGTTACTGCTTGTCTGTGTTTGAATCCTGGCTCTTTACCACTAATTTCACCTCCCTTAACCTCACTCAGTTCCTTCCCTCACAGAGTGAGGACAAAAGAACAATCCCTAAGGTTATTTTAAGGACTACAGGGACAAGCCATTGAAGGCACTTAGCTCACTACCTAGCAAGTGCCCTTAAGTGCCAGCTACAACTGCTGCAATTATTTTGCTGTCAGTGGAAATCACACACTTGAACCTCTCAGAATCTGGTAAAAACTGAGAGAGCACCTCCCAGCCACATACACATTTCACTACATGGACTTTGAAACATCCACTTTGATTGCTCAAAGGTCTTGTCCTTACTTCCTGGATCTCAGCTATGTTCCAGGGAGACAGGTGAGGCCTGAAGACAGCATTCAAAAGATGTGGTGTTACTTTAGATGTGGAGATTCTTAGAACTCAATGAGGTAAATGGAATCTTTGCACCCAGGTCCTTTAGGACTCCATCTTTTACTGCCTCTGCAAAATTAAAGTTCTTGAATTCATCCAGTTATTTCTCTGAAGCAGTGCTACCAAAAATACGTCCATGAAAGACACTGTTTTTCAGAAATAATTTTAAAAGTCTCGATACTTAAACGTTTAGGATTACTGAACTACAAAACTTCACAACTAATATGTGGAAAGACGCGTCTCCCTGCCTCCCAGCAAAGCGTGCGTGAAGTGTGCACTCCCAGGGAGGGAGTCGCCAACTCACTGGTGACGTGGAGTGAGGAGTTACTGGAGCCCTGCAACCTCCGCGGTACCCGCGCCGCAGATTTAAGCGAACCCGTTATTAGATGGAGGGATTCTAATGGACAGATCGGTTCTGTTGCTCAAAACAGCATTAACGCCCCCAAGGAACTCACTTGGAGGCCTCCCCAAAGCCCCTCCCGGGGAGGGCGTGAGCCTGCACCCGAGAGCGGGGAGAGAGCCCACCAACTCTGGGGACAGGCCCGACTCGACACCTTCACCGCAGGGCCGGTCCTGGAACGGGCAAAGTGGGGAACGGGACTTCTCCCGGCGCCAGCCCCACCTCCCGGGCTGGCCTGGCTGCCACGTCAGGCCGAAACCGCCGCGGTCCTGCCCATCCTCCTGTCCCATTGATTCGCCAGCTCCCAGCACTCCGGTCCGCGGTCCAGGACACCATACCGGCGCGCGGAGTGCCCACTAAAGCCGGGCTGGGGGCGCCCCTGGCGGGCACCCCCTTAAACTTTTCAGACACAGCAGGGTTCCGCGCAGTCCGGTCCGCGCCTTCCTCCGCCCGACCGCTCAAGTTCGGCACAGCACCAGGAGCACAGCACGGCCCACCGCAGGGACCCCCCGCCCGGGCCCGGCGCCGCCGCG